ACACACACACAAACACACACACACACACACACAAACACACACAAACACACACATATATATATATATATAAAATTATCTTTTTTTTTTAATGGTTTTAGTTAATGATAACAAACCTGATCTGGCCAGAACAGCCAATCCAATCTCACCTTATAGAGACTCATGAGCTCAGTGGCGGTGTACTCTTTGCTCTGATTGAGCGGTTTGAAGCGGATATCGCCAGGTGGTTTGGCTGTGTAAGTGAACGGACCGGAGATGGTGTCCAAATCATGAGTTCCTATGGCAACCAGGGTCCTTTTCCTGATGGGAGCAGAACAGAGTGATAAAACATCAGAACTTGCAGTGCAACTTCTAGGCTGCAATTCTAGGTTTAAAGGGGTCATGAACTGAGAACCCGATCTTGACATATAAGAGGTAATTTTACTATAAAAGTATCCTGTAAGTTTCAGAACTCAGAAATTTTTAGTTAGCCTAAAAACAGCTTATATTGAAGCCAATCTGCTAAAATGACAGCTTGTGGAATGTACGATTCTATGATGTAATAGTGTGGATAAGCACCACCGGCTATACAAAAATCAGACTATAAACATGGCTCTGATTCTGAAGACAACAGGATGCTGTGCAGTGCCAAGTTGTGGAAAACACTGTCTTTGCATTGCCTTCCTTCTGATCCTAACAATATGAAAGAGTGGATGAAGTTTATTTTTAATGAAGATCCAGATCACGTCAGTAAGAATTGGTTCTTTGTTCACTTCCTTTTATAGTGGATTTGTTTATAAACAAAGCATAATTAGACTCAGGATTTTCAGAAAGATTGAATTTAAAAGACGATGCTGTGCCAAATATATATATATATTAGGGTGACCATACGTGCCATTTTCCCAGGACGCATCCTGGCCAGGTTTTGGCTTTGTTTGCGTGTGTAGACCGATCGGTGTATGACATCAATTCTGGTGCAGCTTCTCCTGCAGCTCAATGAAGCTCTCGTATCGTTCCTGAGTGAAGGTGACGTCGCGCAGTACAGCTGCTACAGCGTGCGGCCTCACAGACGCCGTCTAGATAAACACGTAATATTATCTAATATCAGCACCGCAGCCATTACATTCATTTTAATGGTCTCCCTCCATTCTTCACTATGGCTGATGGTTTCTCACTGTACTTGAGCTCTTAAGAAATCAATATAATTAAACCTCTAAGCTGAAATACGACTCTGATATGAACCTCCTCGGTTATGACCAGCCGCTGAGGCTCTCCTCCGTCCGCCGGACTCACACGCTTGTACCGAGGAGCTTCCAACCTACAAACACAACAAAACCAGCCATATAAAGACCATAACACTGAACCACAAACAGCAGAACCACAAACACGGAGTCTTACTTCTCCTTGAAGACCTGCAGACCCCTGACGAGACCCTTATACAATTTTAAATAAAGAAATAAAGCATGAAATTCTGAGTCGCATTATGATTGCGTCATCAATGGGCATCCAATTTGACATATCAGCTTTTCAAATGAATGAAGAATAAAACCTAACGCTAGATTACAAGACATAAAGCACTACAGTATTCAAGCAGCACCAGACTAAAAAAAAATTACGTATATTAAAAATAAGACAAAATATTCACTGAATTCGGTAAAATCTCGGAATAATCTGAATCTGATGCAATCGCTGCGACACACCGGAGAAATGTCATTTAAATTCGTTTTGAGTCTCGAAATCAATTCGTTCAGTAATGATGAGATGGGCCAGTAGAATATGTGATCTATAAAATGTAACTTGACACACACACACACACACA